TAATAAGTCTTCCTGCATAGTCTTGAAACTGGAAGGAAATAGAAGCACCTAGATGGGGCTTTATTTAAAATAATAAGTAAAAATAAATATATAAACATCTGAGTGATGTTTAGCCTGAGATGGGGACCACGTACACAGAGGGCAGTGAGGAACTGGCTGCCAGAGATGCTGTGACTGCCCCATCCTTGGAAGAGTTCAAGGCCAGGTTGGATGGGGCTTGGAGCATCCTGGGACAGTGGAAGATGTCCCTGACCATGGCAGGGGGCTGGAATGAAATAATCTTTGAAGGTTGTTTCCAACCCAAACCATTCTATTGTTCTGTGATCTGAGTGTAGCTTTTCTCTCACCCCCACCCTTCCAGTGCTCCTGTGGGATGCTGCATTAGGTTGTTTGGGCAGATCTGCTGTGGTAGGTAAACATGAAGCATTTTCCTGGTATCAACAGACCAAAAGCTGTTATTTCAAAAGCTCTCTCTATCTCTCTTGTGTGAGAAGCATGAGACCTATCAAATTTACTCTTTTATGTCATTATTAACACAAATGCAGCAGTGGGATGTGATGTGATGCAGCACAGTGCACTCCTGAAATGTAGAAAATGTTAATATTTTAATTTAGTGCATTCAAAGTGATGATTCCTCTTCAAGAGGTGGGAGTGAATCCACTGTAAAATAACCAGCAGCCTGGTGGTTGAACAAGCCTACTGAGGACAAAAGACAGATTTCCAGTTCATAGATTGAATCTTCAGGTTTTAATCCTAAAGTGAGATGAAACAATGCCCATTTTTCTTAAAGGAATCTCTTTTACTACACTAGGAGATTAAAAAAAAGAAGAAAATAAAAGAAAAAGGATGGTGATCTGTAGGTGTTTTGAGATAAGTTTTCTGATCCTTGTTATTTGTGTTCCTAAATAGAGTGGCTGGGGAAGTACCTGGCTAAGGATGTGTGTTGTAGACGTGAGTTTTGCCAGTCACCAGGCTCTGTGCCAGCAGTGCAGCTGCCAGGATAGTGTGACAGGACAAGGCAGTGACCTCTGGGACCTTTGTCTGTGCTTCCACAACCCCAGTTTTTGAAAGGAGCTCCTCAAAATACCCAGGGGAAGTTTAGGATCAATGTGGCATTTGGCAGTGTGAGTTGGGATCCAGCAGACTCTGAGATGCTGTGGAGACACTGAGAAATGGATGCCATTGGACAAATTAGGAGATAATTACCTTTTCTCCTCTTAAAAAGATAATATTTGCTGGCACTAATTTATCCTTTTAGCTTTTGTCTTTTACTGACTCAGATAAAATTATTCATAGTTTTATTGTTTTTTAACATATCATGAGAGAGCAGAAAATTATTTTCTTAATTAACACAATTGATAGTGTTATCACTTTAGCTGTATTAATCTTTTGAATGAGCCCTACTGACTTTTTCTATGAGGTGACTCTGGGTCCATGGACATCTTTTGTTTCATTTTGCCATTTATCCCCTGCCATTGATCTGCTTTTACAAATAATAGAAACACTTGTCTGTGGGCCATGACTTTGGAAATAATGTTTGACTTCTTGTGCTCTCTTGTCAAGTACATTAAGGCATTCCTGCCACAGTAACTTCCACAGAGTATTTCCACAGCATCAGAGAATGGCTCAGTTTCTGGGGTTCCTATGGCACACAGTACACACTGCTGTTTCCCATAGTAAATAACTTTTGTCATTGAGCTTTTAGTTTTTTCAGGCTTTTTTTAATGGTTGGTGTCAACATTTCCTTCCTTTGCCTGTAAATTTACAAAAATGCACTCCCCACTTTATACCAGCTTGGCTGTCCTACATAAATTGGGTGCATCCATTCTTGGCTGGTGATTGTTTTCTTAGTAATTTAGACTAATTACTAATTAAGATTTCTTGCTAATTTAGATTCTTACTGATTTATATTAAGAACTTCAGATCTTAAGTCCTAGGTACCCATATTTGTCTAAGCCCCATGTAAGAGGACACATTAAGTTGAACTTGTGTTGCTTCACCTCCCATTTGTAGCTTCTCAAAATGTTTTAGGAGTTCCCAAGAACTTGCAAGCAATGAGCATTGGTACAAGCATGGATCACTTGTGTTTCTATTAAAATAATATTTTATAGTCCCTCTTGCTGACTCATTAACTTTTAGGAGCTATGTATCAGATTTATGTCCTTTTTCAGGCATTTAATACTGTGATACCTTACAAAACACATGGATAAATAAAACCAACAGAGTTGGCAGCTCAAATCTTTGTTCCTGAAATTATGTAAATTGTAAAAATGCACATCCCTTACATTTCCTAGGCTTTGCCTACTAGTATGAAAGTTATCCCTCTCCACATGTTTTCACCCAATATTTAGACACTAGATGCTGATTAAGATTATTGCTTTTCTTGACTTGGAGTTATGAGAGGACTAATTATTCTGCCCTGTTAATTACACACTTTTCTGTCTTATGCACTCTAAAGGTGAGATTGATTCTGGAATAAAACTTCATTTTGGGGAAAACAGTTAATTCCTGTCTAATCAGGATGTTAAACATCTTTTAAAGCCATCATCAAGCATTAATCCTCTGCATTATATGTCACTAACAATTTTTGTGTAAATCAAGTAGAGTTATTTTTTTATCTTCTTATATCTGAAATTATTCTTAACTCACCAGATATGATTTAAAATAATAAGGAAAGTTTGTGTACCTACTTGGAAGTTAGACATTAATTTCTTTTTATTTTTGTTGAAAATTTTCAAGAAATAATGTGCTCTCTCTGCTTAAGGCTGAGATAAAGTGTTTGTTTTCCAGCAACAGGAGAGGATAGTCTGTCACAACATTAACATTTGCAAGCAGGTAAACAACTTATATCAAATGAAGCAGCAAAATTTGCCATGTCTAGGTGGACCAGAGAGGGCTCTCTCCTGTCCCAAGGCTGTGATTTGTCTGGCAAACCTGCAGACAAATCACCTTTGCTTTAAGGCAGCTTAAAAATCCCAGTGTCTGCACATCTGGCTGGGTTTAGCATTCACAGAAACTGAAATTTCCTATTTAAAGCTACTTTGTTTGTATGCTCAGACATAGGAAAATATTGTCCTTGTGAGCCACCTGATACTGACTGGAGTGGGAGATTCTACAGTGGCTAAAAGAGAAACATGCCCTTAAACCCTCTGATATTTGTATCAAACCCAGATTGTGCTGACAGGTCCCAGATGTGCTTTTCCATTTGCATCACTTCAGCCACCCACAAATGCTGCAGCCACAGAGGAGCTGTGGGACCCTGCAATCTCCAGGACAGAAAAACATCAGGATCCTTTTAAAGGCCAGGTGGGACCTGGATCAAGGCCTGGGCTATGACAGGATGGACAGGATGACCCTGATTATTTCCTAGATTTATGCTTTAGGGCATCCTTTTGTACAAGATGGTCTCTTTAGACTGTCCAGGCTTTTTTACCAGAGTACCTGATTCAAAACTTAATGGTTGCTCTGTTGTCTGGAACAGAGAATTTTTAAAAAGATAATTATTTATTTTTAAAGTTAATCAGACTTTTTTTTAAATAAAAAAAACCCCAAATATAAAATCAATGAGGCTGGTGAGCTTTAAATAGTTAGTGCTGCTTAGAGCCACATGCTTTTTTGTTCTCTCTCATGTCTAGAGTAGCAGTGTGCCTTCATGGCTCAATTGCTTTCAGTAAAATCTTTCTTTTCTCATTTTTCCAAAGCTAGAAGGACAGTGGGGAGGGGGTTGTGAGGGCTTCATGTGAACATGGGTGTACCTGGCCACACAGGTCTGGTATTGACAAGGTCTTCAAGATGCAGAAGAGAGAGCAAATGGGTAAAATTAAGAAATAATTTTTGTTTCTTATTTAGTCTCCCTCCAAGTTGGACTTTTGAGGGGAAAAATTTAGAGCATCACAGCTTGTCCCAGGTCCCACAGCAAAAGTTATGGAAGCCCTGAGTCAAGTGCTGAGTTCATGAGCCCTGAGTCAATGTGCTGGGCCATTCCTGCCCCAGCAAGAACCAGCAAGAGGAATTGGGGTGTCTGAATGCCCTAGAAAGCTCCTGGCTGGGTGGTTACAAACATGGCAGAAATGTTTTTGTCTTATGCAGGAGTTCCTCACTTTACTTCTTCAATTGTCCTTGGGGGATGATTTTCATTGATGTTTGACAAATTCCCATTTTCCCTTACCAGGGTTTCCATTACTTATATTATCAGGTTTGACCTCAATAACCCATTTCCATACAAAAATAAATGGAAAGAAAACCCAACAAGCCTTCCTAGATGAATCTACTATTTAATTCTCCTGCTGCTTCACAATTCCAATGGCCAATTGTTATGACTGTGGCCATGACAAGTTATTTGCATTGGAACACAGCAACTAAGGAACTCTAAGGAGAATTTATGGATGTAATTTTTCCCTTATCTACAAAATTTGCAGAGCTGCCATCTGCAGACAAGGAGCCCCTCAGGGTACAAAGAAATTGCTGAGACTGTCTTGCAGGTAATTCCCAGTTTCTTGGCATTGTGAGAACCGTGTGTACAGACAAAGACAAGGAGCACAGACTCAGCTCCAGCTTTCCTCCAGTCCTGTCACTGGTCATGATAATGAACAGATCGTCCCCTGCCCCTGCTCTTCCCTTCATGAGGATGTTACAGACCCCAGTGAGGTCTCCCCTCAGTCTCCTCAAGGCAGAACAGACCACATTACCTCACCTGCTCCTCAAAGGCTTTCGCCCCACCCCCTGCACCATCCTCGTGGCCTCCTCTGGGCACTCTCCAATAGCTTGATGCCTTTTTACTGTTGTGTTCCCATGTAAATAATGTTCTTGGATATAGTAAGTCATGACCTGAATCATGCCATGATGCTTTATGCAAGTTTGAATGGTATCCTGAAGTGCCCTGGGAAGTGTCAGAGCAGAATTGAAGATGGGAATATGGATTCTGTGTATGAAACAAAAATATCTTCACATTTTCTAACAGCAGGTGTGATTCATTGCAAATTCTGTTCTTTTGTTTTTCAGGCACTTAACTGGACATGAGTGGGATGGCATCAGATCACAACAATTCTTCCCAGGAAGAATACATCCCACACTATCTCCAAAAGGAAGACCCTTTTGCATCAAAGCTCTCTAGAGAAGCTGACATCATAGCTGGCTTTTATTTGACAATAATTGGTAAAGATTTTATAATTGGTCTTTGAAATATGACTGTGCTGCTGCATCCTTGCAGATCAGGAGGCAGAAACTTCTGTTCATCAGATGTGTAATTACACATTTTTTCATACTAGAAAGAAAAATCTAGGAGGGAGGAGAGATAATGTGTTAGAAATATGATGTCAACAGTTAATGTCAACAGCTAATGCTGCTGCAGGTAACCAAAAGTGACTAGCAGTAGATGTTCCAGCAAAAAGTGAAGAAATACTCATTGTTTTTAATAACTGATAGGTTGCTGCTCTGTACTTTAATTTGTCCCTGGGCAGAGTAGGGTTTCCCTCACTATGCATTGTGGGTTTTATAGCCTGTTTTCACAGCCTCTCTCATGAGCCTACACAGCAGGGAACACCCTCAGATGTGTTCATGTGACCCTTGCTCAGCTCCTGGCATCATCTGTCCTTTGTTACACATCATTTTGAGCAATATTTTCTGCCTAGCACCCTCCCCATCCTTTTATGTGTTGGAGTCCTTTACAAGGTTCAAAGTGACCTTGCAAGCAGAATAAATACAATTATCTATTGCTTAGTGCACACCCATTCTAGCTGGGACTGATTTCTCTTTAAAGTATTCACATGCTAAGGAGTTATCATTCAGCAGGAAAATTCTGGTCTCTGTTTCTTCTAGGGATAAACTGGGCCTGATTTTTGACAATTTTCCTTCTTTACTTTATGGAGGAGGACAGAGTTATGTCTTTTTGCATCCTCAACACCTGAGGGAATGGCATGAAGCTGAGTCAGGGCAGGTTTGTGTTGGATATCAGGAAAAAAATTCTTCACCCAGAGGGTTTCTGGGCACTGGAACAGCTTTTCAGGGCAGTGGTCATAGCACCAAGCCTGACAGGGTTCAAGAAGTGTTTGGGAAAAGCTCTCAGGCACATGATGGGATTCTTGGAATGGTCCTTTGCAGGGTCAGGAGCTGGATTTTGATGATCCATGTAGGTCTTTTTCAACTCGGGATATTCCATATTCTATTCTATTCTATTCTATTCTATTCTATTCTATTCTATTCTATTCTATTCTATTCTATTCTATTCTATTCTATTCTATTCTATTCTATTCTATTCTATTCTATTCTATTCTATTCTATTCTATTCTATTCTATTCCATTCCATTCCATTCCATTCCATTCCATTCCATTCAATTCTTCTTCATGTATTTTAAGTTCCTTTATGCTTTATGGTCTTAGTTCACACAGTTTCTCACAGCTCAGCAGCTATTTTCTCACTAAATCTGATTTTGAGGACAGAACTGTTCTACAAAAAATTTTGAGGACAGAACTGTTCTACAAAAAACCTGGGCTCCAGGTGTCAGATGTCGAAGACAAGGCTGAATACAGAGTGTACGCTGATTCTTGACATTTATTTCAGTTTTGATTCATTGTCTTGTTCAATGAGTTGTGCACAAAATACCAAGATCTGTCAGTCAGTCCCACTTTTGTGTTTCTCATTCACTACTTTACATCCCCCCATCTTCTCTGTCTTACTGCTTTTCCTCTGACTGATCTAAGCATTGTAAACTTTTCCGTAGTGGAGGTATCAGAATTTTTATCATTATTTCCCTTCTATTTATGTTTCTGTTTATTTCTTATTTCTCTTCTGCTTACATCTTTATTGGAAAAATAATCCAGAGCAGCAGAGGTGACAGGTGGAGCTGTATCTCAGTACTGTTCTTGGTATTCCTACACTGTTTTGTAGGAATCCTCACTTTTCACACATATTTTTTTTTCTGTTGCTCTGCACACAGATGTCTTCACTGAACTATACAAAACAACCCCCACTTTGGGTCTTTTTTCACTTGCTTAAGTAAACTTAGCTTTGATCCCAGGAAATATGTTTGATGGATGAATCCTCACAGTAGACACTGTGTTGCCTTGTTATTTTCACTGTGTTTAGTGTAGATTTATCCTGTCCAAAAATTACCTGTCAGATGTGAAACATCTTGAAAAATGCAGGCATAATCAAATTAAGGCAAGGAACAAGAATTAAAAATTTCCAGTGAAGAGCCAAAAGGCATCCATAAAGGCACAGACTTTCGTGAGCAATGTGAGGAAAATGAAATTTTCATTTTAAAAGGTCTCACAATAATTTTGACATTGAGCTTGTGAATTCATTGTATCCAGTGGCCTGGGCCAGGGTAGTTCAAGCCAGAGCTCTGCTGTATGTATATGTATCTGTACACATCATATCCCACATTTAACTCTAAATTAACTCAATTTTTAAAGTGTGTGTTTTGCATTACATTTTACTTGGTTAATTGCTTTGCCCTTGTGTTCATAGCAAACTTTACTAGTGGCTTTCATATGAGACAATTATGGTCTTCCCATTTCCATATAAATGCTATATTTGCATATTCCTAGGATCTATAGAATAAGGATTTTAGGAGAAAAATTCTTCAGTGGAAGAATGGTTGAGCACAGGAATGGGGTACCCAGGGAATAGTGAAACCTTTAGCCCTGGAAGTGTTCAGAAAATGAGTGGAGGTGGCATTTCATGGTATGGTTTGGTGGCCATGGTGATGGCCAGTCAAAAGTTGGTCTTGATCATCTTGGAGGTCTTTTCCAGCCTAAGTGATTTTATGATTCAATGTATGTGGTTTTTTATTGTGAGTTGTGATTCAGACTGAACCTGTCACATTTTCCCACTGGACTGTATTGCCTACTCCTTTGCAGATTCCTTCCAAGAATCTGTGACCCCTCCTGAGGATGGCCTGTGGGGACATCCTGACAGCAGGGACAGGGAAGCAGGAGGTGGGAAGCCAGGAGTGCTTTTGTGCATCTTTTTACACTTGAGCTGTGTAAGGTGCAAGTGGGTTTAAAATTCCTTTCAAAAAGGGGAAGAAGCTGAACAGTGAGTGAACAAGGCTGGATCTTATCAGGAAACTCAGCAGAGCTTTTAGGGTCAGAGTGGTTGTACAGCTCAAGTACTGCAATCTGAAATACAAAAAATAATTGTTTTTTCTCTTTGAAGAAAACCAGCAGTCTTGACTAGTCTGATAAATTCTCTGTGAGTACATGATCCTTTGTCCTGAGTAGTTAATTTCCACATGTAGCTTTCTAATTGTCTGGGGAAAAAAAAAAATTAGACTAAACACATGGTTATAAGAATCCAGTTCTTTTGTGTTTGTCACTTCCCCCACCAGCATTTTCATCTCTGCCTTGATTGATTCACTGTACGGGCAGGTAGGGTGACAAACCACTGAGCTGGCTGTCAGCTGCTCTGAAACCCCTTGGCAAGTCACTATTGATTTACAAACTGTTGTGCACACTTCCTCAGCCTGTTATGAAACAACTTAATTGAAAACAAAATCCTGAACTTTTTTTGTATTTTAATTTTATTTTTTCTGATGGTTTAGCACTGCTGTTAGGTTGGAGAAGTAGAAGTTTATTTCTCCAGCTGGCTACTTGTAAACAGGTTTCCCTCTCGCTGCAGGCTGTGTGCCTCAGCCTGGCTCTGTCTCTGCAGGTGTCACTTTTTTAGTTATCACACCCTTGGCTGTTTGTTTGTATATATGCAATAGTGCCAGGCTGCCATGGACAATTCTCCTGGAAAAGAGTCTCTTTTTTATATCTGAAAAGTCTTTTCCTCCTGTTTTTAACCTACCAGAGCAGGGAACCTGCTCCAGCAAGGGCTTCAGCTGACTGCTGGGAAAGTCACTTCACAACAGGAGAAATGCCTCATCTCAGGAGGTTATAAAGTTTTGATCACCAAGGAATTAAAAAAAGATTCAGATAAGCAATTTTCAGATGCAGGCATAGACAAAAGGCATCACAAATTATCAAAGAACCCCTTCCAGCTATGGGATTAGGAGGTCAGTGGGCTGGAGCTCTCTGAAACATTGACATTAATAATGAGCAGTGGTTTCAGAGCAACTTGGCAACTTCAGAGTTACTTGGCTGATAGAGATGTCTCTCTAGACTGCCAGTCAGTTGAAAAAGGTTCAGGAAAATGTCAAATGCTTTCAAAAGGTATTTCAAACTGGATGCTGGCACTCTAGTTATCCTAAATATCACTGGAGAGGAAAATGGCATTAAGAGAAAAAAGGATTAAAATATATGAAAAATGCTCGCAGCATTGAGATTCATTCATTCAGCTGCAAGGAAGAAAATGACTCATATGAATACCTCTATCTGCTTATAATTCTGATTAAATTTACAGAGCCACAAAAGTAGTTGTTCTTAAAATTTAATTCACCAAGGGTAAATCAAATTTGATGAGAAAACCTAAGATCAATAATAAACTAGCTTCTGTCCTTCTGTTTATTTTGTAAAATAATATAGAAAATAATACTGTCAATATAAAAACAAAAACTTTCCAGTAAGTGTTGCATTTAATACAGAAAAATTCAAAATCAAAGTATTTTTCTCCTGAATTTGGTGAACTTTTGATTTCTCAGTCACTCATATTTCTTGATAAATAATTTGGTTTTAGCTTCTGGGAGCCATTTCTCTCTCTGTCTCATGGATATTCCCAGGTTGGGTTTTTTGATTTTGTGAGGACAAAGCACCCTTGCAAGGGAATCCTGCCATCGATGGACCAGTGTAAATAATAAAATACCCATTTAAATATGGGATTATTTATTACTGATTTACCAAATTAATCACTAAATAATTAAATTCCCATTTAATTACTGAACTTCATTTTCTGAGGTCTGTCCTGCCAGAAGACTCAGATGAAAATTACAGGGTATTGAAAGGTACAAGATTTGGAGAGGAAAGCTTTGATGGGAGGCTGGAGGGTTCTGGGGCCTTCTAGAAACAGAGATTGCCCCAGCAGAGCCCTGTGTGCAAGGCAGCACAAAGGGTGATTTGATGGTTATCAACAGAGGAGAGTTGGGTTGTTTATTGACTCGATCTTCTCGAGTGTGGCCCGGCTAGCTCAGTGATGAGGTTTCTCTTCACTCGAGTTTCGAGCCAGCATGTGTTTGTGGGGTTCACTGATTTTCTTCAAGAATCCAAGTCTATAGAGCGAGTAAAGAAATCAGGGGGGGACTCTCTTTCTGGTTTGCATTCCACAGTTTATTTCTGTGAAGGGGAATCCAAAGGATGAGAGACAAAGGATTTGGGGTCTGGGGGGTCTCTTTTAACAGGGTCTCTCAGAGGGAGGGAACATCAGAGAGAGAACCAATTATTTTTCTCAGTTAGTACATCTTACAAACTTTCTACAAATCAAGGTTACACACACCAAGATAAGAAATAACAGACACCAACTTCTTCAAATGCCCACAAAGGTGTAGGAGTATTCTCCACAGAGGGGCAGAGGGGGAGAGAGGGGGCCTGGTTTCCTGGCAGCACAGGGGGGAAGGAAAGGGAAGGGAAGGGAAGGTAAGCATGGCCTCTCAGCTTCCATAGTTTAGAGGCATTCTGGGACAGGAAAAACAGAGTTACAAACTCCCGTGTTGGAAAGAAGGGTCTCCTGGGCTAAAGAAACTTCAAGCAGCTGGAAATGCCAGCAGGGTCCTCTCTTTACTCTATCCGGCCTCTCGCCTGGGGCTGAGGAGAGAAACTTCAGTAACCATGGGAACTTGATGCCAGGTAAACAATTAGGAGAAAGAGAAGCTGGGGTGGGGGGTGGGGATCACAACTAAAAGATGGGAAAAGGTACATTTCAAACTATCAACTACAACAGTTTATGACTTTTTTTGGAGCAGTGTGATGAGTTGGCCTCAGCAGGGAGCCAAGCACTCAGGACAGCCCTCAGAGCCGGACAGGGAGGAAAGAGGCAGAGAAATGTCGAGTTGTTCACAGGGCTCTGCAGGTCTTTAAGGAGATATTGGTTGCTATAAAGATGTTTATTGTATGAATGTATCAATCTCGAAGGCAAAGAGTTCAGAGAGTTAAAGTCTGTGCTAAAAACTTTTGGCATAAAGTCCCCAATTCCAAGCAGCAGCTTCCCAGCAGTTTCCTTGATCCAGGCCCCAGAAGCAGCTGCAGTTGTTGTTCTTTGGGTGAGGATGATGATGGTGCTGCTGCTGTTCCTCTTCTTGGTGTGTGCATGTGTACCCAGGGATAATACAGGGGATTAAATTAGTAAATCATCCAGTCAGCTAAAAACATGACTCTAAAACATTCTTTCTACACCAATCTAAGCTTAATTCTAATTTAAAGTCAGTCCTTATTAGCAGTCTAATTAGCAGTGTCAGTCCTTACCTAAATCCTACATATGGAGCATTATCTGTTTATGTATATAGTTCTATCTGCTCTATCTAGAAATGTAAGTTATATTCTTCCTATGTTTTCTTTGTGTCTAGGACTAAGTTGAATCTGTGAAAGGTATAATTTCTGAACTTTAAACTAGGCCTTAGGGCTTTTCCCAAGCTAACACAACCTCTTAAGGCACTTAAGCTATATTTTTACTTACTTAAAACTAAAACCTACACTCTCATGTCCATGTGGTTTAATATATTTTAATACTTTTCTCTCTCTGAGGGACTCAGGTTTTTATTTCAAATTCTAACAGAGAAAAAGCAGTGAGGATGAAGACAGGGTGGGGATAAAGACAGGAAGATCCACTCCCAGTTACTGCAGTGGGCCAACAGACTCCTTGAAACAAATAAATTCAGAATCATGGAATCACAGAATGGTTTGGGTTGGATGGACCTTAAAGATCATCTCATTTCAACTTTCATCACGTGGTTCCAACCCCCAAAGCTTAATGTTTAATTACTGTTTTAGGTAGTGAGAAACAAAGGTGTCAAACCTAAAATACTTATGGAGATCACCGTTCCTCACCCTTTAAACCTAAAATACTTATTGAAAACACCCTTCCCCACCCTTTCCTGGGCTGAACTCCTCTCCAACATTTCCCTCAGTGCTGTTGTAGGTCTCCTTTGGGGGGCAAGGGCAGCACAGTCACTCTTGGCTCTTCACTCTTTTCTTCTGCATTTCCCTCCTCCTTATGTGTCTCCTCTCTTCTGGTGTGAGGCTCAATAGCCCACGGTCCCTTTGGGTTTTTCACCTTCTTGCTCCAAGAGAGGGATGATCTGTGTTGTGCTGTGTTTCCACAGCAAAGATCTCACTCTGACCTTAAACTCTTTAAAACATGAATTAGTGAAGGCACATTTTCTTTAAGGGAACTGGAAACCCCACAATTTTCTGTACTGGGGAGATAAATTCCATGGCAGATGAACCACTTTCAGTGCTGGTACCTGCAGGTCTTTGGGTGATGATATGGGAAAAAATATGTCAGCCAATATGAGAAGGATCCCATGCACTGAGTTCTACCTGGAAGTTAAAATCAGATTAATCAGATTTATTTTGTAATTTTTCTTTCCTATGATAGAAATAAATTTTAATGTAAGATTTAGGACTTGATATTAATATATTAATTCAAATTAAACTGTGAATTTATCCTTCAACGTCTGATTAGAGTATTTAATAAAGTTGAAACTGCTCAGATTCTGGTTCCTATGATTACAGAGAGCTGAATTTCGTTCTCGTGGCTGTATAAATGTTTGAGTGAGAGCTGGGCTGGCCAGAACAGAAGGATTCTGGGGTTTCTGTTGTGAAATTCCATCGATGTCTGTGCAGGCTCAGGTGGTGGAAGCAATGCCCTGCTGCAGAGGGGAAAGCAGCATTTGCTGTGGGAGGGATGTGCCTGCGCTCGACGTCTCTGGGAGCTGCACAATGACATGAGGGGATCAGGTTTCAGAGTAAAATGCCCAGCCTTAGGGACCACAGGTTCAGGCTGCAAGTATCAGGGAATTTCATAAGGAAGATGGAGTATTGCTGGTTTTGAAGACGATTCTAGTTTTAATGTTATTCTATTTTCCATTATTACAGGGATCCTTTCAACTCTGGGGAATGGGTATGTTATTTTTATGTCCTCAAAGCGAAAAAAGAAGCTGAGACCTGCTGAGATAATGACTGTTAATTTAGCAGTGTGTGATCTGGGCATTTCAGGTAATTTAATGTTTTTATTTTCTCTCCTTTTTACTATCTCACCATTCTGCCTGGCAGCAGCAAGAGACATTCCTCGGGAAGTCATGGGAGCACCAAATGCCTTTTGCTGCCGATATTTCTGCTCTATTATTTGGGTGTAAATAATAGAAGAGGATGGAAAACAACATTCCTGAACAGCTTGGTGGGAAGAAATGAACAGTACAGAGGAAAAAATTAGGATTGATTTTATCAAACAGGCAGAGCTCCTGTCCACCCCAGCACTGGGCAGGTGTCCACAGGCAGCTTCCATGTGCACCCTGGTTATAACCACAAAATACCTTTGTCTCTGGATCAGGAAAAGTAAGCATTTTTGTCAATCTGTAGAGTATGAGCCAACTGGGAGGATTTTTTATTTCACCCCACAGTCTGGATGTCCTGGCATTGGAGGAGGGAGCTTTGGAGAGGTTTATCCAGAGTTGCAGAGATAGTTGTTTTGGCTTTTGACATGAGTCTAATTCAGCTGCTCATAGGTAAATACAGATAAAGGGCTGGATGTTCTTTAGAAAAGGATATTTTGGATGGCAGGAGTATCAGGACCCAACTAACCATGGGATCTCCCCAGTGCCATATAAATGCAATTATATTTTCATGCTTGCAGGGGCATCTGTCCCCAATGTGTTGTATATACTGGGACCTCTGCCTTCTGCTCCAGTGCAGCCTTTTCCTACCCTTGTCTCTGTCAGATGCTTTTGCCCTCATCTAAATGCCAAAAATATCAGTGAAAAATATAAAATGATGGCTCCCAGCCTCCCCAGGCTGATGCTTGTTTGGGCTCTCACAGAACAAGACTAAAGATCTGCTCATCCCTGTAGATTCCAGTGATTTTGGTCAGTAAACATGGACTTCTGAAGGAAATAATAATTCAATAGAAGAGAGATGTTGTTATGAATATCACTGCTACCACACAGAGAAATCCCAGTGATCTCTTTGGCATTTCTGTCATGGACACACTACTTCCATCTCTCAACACTTAGAAGCTCAGGAAAAACCCAGAGTGGCTTTTCCCTCCCCTGTGATATTCCCATTTCCTTGGTGTTTTAAGAATCTGTATGATGAGGCTCATATTAGTCACTCCAATGAGAAAGAGTGTTTCAGGAGAATTTCCCCAGCTTTATATTCTGAATGTTGCCCAGAGAAGCCCCATCCCTGGAAGTGTCCAAGGCCAGGCTGGATGGGCTTGGAGCAATCTGGGCTAGTGGAAGGTGTCCCTGCCCACGGCAGGGGAGTTGGGATGAGATGGTCTTTAAGATCTCTTCCAATCCAAAAATTCTATGATTCAATGAATTTAACAGGAATCTCTTAACCATAAAAACTCTGTGTCCCAACCATTCAAAGTACAGCTTGTTTGGGACCCCAGTGTGAGGGCTGCCAATGTCTCTGTTCAGGTCTGTCACCAGTGCACCACCTTGCTTTCTTCCATGGGGAGTTCAAGATACCTGGGATTTACATTTTGGAATTAAAAATAGTGATTGCCAGAGCCATGCTTGATTTTCTCACTTCTCTATTTTTTTAATTATTTTTTTTAATTAATGGAAGGTGCTAAGTTGAGAAATGTAATGGGTTCTGTCTGCTGGACAAACTGAAGATAGGATTTCTTTCCGCAAAGTCTTCATATTTCACACACTTGTCTTAACAACATTTTGAAGAGTTCTGCTTCCTGCAGATTTCCACAGGGTGGCACCAGCCCCTTGCTCAAACCTGCATCAGGCTCGTTTTGCACTGACACCGTGCTCTGGGCTGCTTTGAGTCCTGCAGCTGAAGAGAAATTTGATTTTGTGCATAGAAATGTGCCGGCCTTTAAATCCATCAGTCACTTATATGCCTAAAGGTGCTGACTTGTTTGTTAGCACATAACCTAGACCTTGTCATATTTAATTTTTTTCTTGAAACCTTAATCCTCGAGGTCAGCTTTTGCTTGGAAAATCAAAAGTGCATTTATTCTGCTTGGAGAAAAGCACATCATGCATTGATCTGGGAACATCCTGCAGGTCCAGGCAGAACTTCACTTACAGGCTTAGGCTGAAGGGAAGTAACCCAAAAATACCTTTTTAAAAATGCATCTGATTTTGAAGGGTTTTAAATCCTGATGCTTTTGGCATAGAAGATGGAGCAAAGGCAATTTTCTGCAAGATTTGGTTTTGAAGGAAATACTTTAATTTTCAGTTAAGAATGAAAAAAGAATGCATGGTTTTACATCAGTTCAGTGTGAAATGGAATGTTTTTAGGAAAAATATTTTCCTACGTATCGCTTCAAGAAAATAGAGATTTCTGTCTTGGTTTCTATGAATAGGTTACCTTGTGGAAAATGCAGTTTGCAAGACAATTTTTGCCCTCTTCATAAACCAATTCACTGAGCTGCTGTGACATTACAAACACTGTAGTTGAGCCAGGGAAACCAGCCCAGGGAAGCTGAGATGTTTTCAAGTCCTTGAGGTGCTCGGGCTACTCCTGTGCAGGAAGGGGCACAGTCACAGGAATGTGGAGTTCAATATTTAATGTTGTTTGAATGTTGCAGTTGGCATGTACAGGCCTGAAAGAATTTAAGATCAGGCTGGTAAGTAAAACTGAAATGTTTGGAAAACAGATGTCCCTAGATTATAAATTTTTGAGTTTTCTGTTCCATTAAAGTTGATTTTTTTTTTCTTTGCCTAAATTTGCCTAATTAAAAAGACCAAGAAAAAGGTAATAATTAGGAGAAAGTGGAGATTTCCAACTAGATAATTACAATTTTTAAACTTTCTCTTTGTCACAATACTTACAAAGGATATGGAAAATGTAAACCTGCTTTAAAGTGAGAATGAAATACCATTTGACCAAACTTCACTTCTTCCATAATTCAGCACTCACTTTTTCCTGGGGAGGAATGAGCTAAAATGCCACTAAGAGAAAGCCTCAAAAATAATTACTCATTTCCCATCTCTTTGGGGAAGCTTAGAATGTTTTGATATCTGTGTGCAGTGACTTGCTAGGAGGCACCAGAGAAATGTGTGATGTGGAGAGGAGCTGAAACCACTTCTGCAGCTCCAGTCCATGTCTTTCCTTCTCACCTAACACTTTACCTCACTGTGTATCCTACTGCTGGGCCTTGACAGGTTTGAAAAAGTCCTTTTTGAAGGCAAATTTCATTACCATGTGTGGAAGATGCCCAGTTGGCTACAGGGATGTAGACGATGCAGATCTGTGCATGTTTCAAGCTCTGACTCACCATCACCCATCCTGTTTAGGTACTGGCATGTGGATTTAACACATCCTCTGAAGGTTTCATGATGAGAAGAACCTGCCCATGATTAGTTCCAGAGTGATGGTTTACCTCTGGTTCCTGTGGTTTATAGTAAAGCACCTATTTCCAGCCCTTCTGCAGGCTTGGCTCATGCTACCACATCATGGGTGCCCTGGGATCTAGCTACAGCTGTCTAAGGCTCAGTCCTGTGCGTGGAGCGCTCACAAGCCATGGAATCACAGAATGCTCAGGCTTGGAATCACTTTATGGTCTTTAGCCCATCTTGTTCCAACCCCCTGCCATGGGCAGGGACACCTTCCAGTGTACCAGGTTGCTCCAAGCCCCATCCCTGGCCTTTGACAGTTCCAGAGATGGGATATCCACAGCTTCTCTGGGCAGCCCATGACAGTGACACCACCCTCACAGTAAAGATTTTCTTCCTAATATCCCATCTAAATTTACCCTTCAGCTTAAAGTCACCACATACTGTGCCTGATGCCCTTTCTCCATGTTGCAGAGCATTTTTAAGGTTATAAGTTTTTTGCAAGGGATGGGGTTTGCTTTTCTGATACAAGGAGGTTTTCTCAAGGATGGATTTTATCATTGTCTTCATGCCATTCTCTTCTCCTTTTGAAGTTGTAGGCAAACCCTTCAGCATCATCTCCTTCTTTTCCCACCGCTGGATGTTTGGGTGGATAGGCTGCCGCTGGTATGGATGGGCTGGCTTCTTCTTTGGCTGTGGGAGCCTCATCACCATGACAGCTGTCAGCCTGGACAGGTACCTGAAAATCTGCCACTTGTCCTATGGTAAGACAAATATGTATCTATATACAGATAACTGTATTATCTGTGAGTGTAGAAAAGCTCTATTAAGTGCTATAGTTCACTACACTGACATAATAATTAAGCTCATCAGAATACTTTTCTTAAATATAGAGGGGAGTACACAGAGGAGAGAAACATGTTTGCATGATCCGAGAAATCCCAGTTAAATTAATTTTATTAGACATAGCACCTTTGCTGTTGTCCCTGTGCTGTCTGCTTAAGCCATGAGTTTTTGTAACCCCTCATAGATAAATCACTTTATGTCTATCAAGACCCATTAGCATTAACAGAAGTAAGTACTGCACATATTGCAGGGTCTTATGGACCAACACATAAAAATATTCCTTATTAGATGCCTAAATTCCTCTGCAGTGTGTGGCAAGCTATTTAAAACACCTGAGAGATTTGGAAGGGCAATAAGTCATAATGTGAAATAGTCTCTCAAATATGGAAATGGAACCTGAGAGGATGAAATGAATTTAGCAGTGTAAGGTGTTACCACCATATCCATCAATATCTTGTACCTCTGGAATATGATGTATTTTATGCTTCATTCTTTCCAGTCAAATGATATTGTCACAGTTTAGAAAAGATGTTCTTGAACTCTGAGGGACTAAATTCCCATCCAAATACAGGGAATGCTCAAGGTGACTTTACAAGTAATAAACAGCTTGCCCATGTGACTTGAGGGACACAACAGATTTCTTTATAATGACATAAAATATCGATCATGTTAAGCTGTAAGAAATGTTTGCAGCTAAGAAGTGTAAGTAAGCCAGTCTGTGTGAGCAGATAAAAGCTGTGGTGCTGTGCCAAGATGTCCTGTCACAGACCCTGGTGTGCCCATGGGAGTACAGAGGTCTCCTTCACTGAGTTTTAGATACACCAATAATATTAAGCAGGATTTCAGTTATTTCCATAGAAGCCTTCTCAAAATAATTCAGTGGTAACCCAAACCACAGACAATTTTTCACAGAACTGGTGAGCTGAAGTGAATATTTAATGGCTGACTGTATTCATGTCACCAGTTGTGGTGTTTAACATGACACCTTAGTTCACAGGACAGAAAATGTTTCAAAACCTTTATTCTCACATGTTCTGATCGTGGTGGTCCATAGAAGATGGAGAGCACTAAACAAACATGCTTATCATCCTTAGTCTAGGTGGCTAAAAACTGTTTCTCTTTTAATACTTATGATATTGCTGCTTTGTTTGTCACAAACAAACCACACAACAAACCAGCTTTCTGTCTCTCAGCCATCACACATGAATACATCGTTTGTAAGACAATGCTCATTTTCCTTCCAGTGACCTGGACATGTAAAATCAGCTGGGAAGGGATGCTGGACACATGAAAATTACAGATGTTTCTTTTTTGGGGTTTTGTTTTAAGTCACTCTGAAACCCTGAAGAAATCTCCTTAATGTTGGAGTGAAATGAGTGAAAATCATTTCTGACTCACTCCCCTGTGAGTCAGAGGCTGCAAATGAGTTGGGGGTTCCAAGATGTTGTCCAAGGTGTTATATCACCATATTCTAAGTTTCTGCAAAAGTTAAAGATTTAAATTTGTTAGTCCTTTCTGGTAGGTTGAACAGGTAGATGATGATGAAAACTCTGCAAACTGGAACTTTTCCCAGAAGAATTAGAGCTGTATGGAAGATAAGCAGGGAGACAATGTTCTCCAGGAATTCTGTTTGCATTTAATTAAAAAAAACGAGCAAAGATACATGAAAACATGTATTACACATACTTCTGACAGGACATGTATGGTGGTTTTCTGTACTGGAAAAGAATTAAAAAGTGAAATTAAATCTTAGGTATCTTATTTTCACTGTAAAGCCTTGTTTTTCAGTCACTGAGTCTAAGCTTTAGTCAGGTAACATAGGAGATAAAGAATAGGAAAAAGCCTAAGTTACATTAAAGAATTGAAATAACATTAAAGAATTGAAATTACTGGACAAATTCTTGCAACTGTTGCTGAGCTGGTTGTTTGGATTTTAGTTTGGACTCTTCTCAGTTGTAATTCATCACAAATTAAAGCAAATATATGAAATAAGGATAGGTGGAGCCTTCCATGTGAGTGTGCCTATGTCTTCATGAGGGACAACGTGAGCTCAGGGTCACTATGGACACCTTCAAAGAGCCAAGATGAACACCACAGAGTTGTTGTCAAACAGTCAAGCAAACTCATATTTCACAGAATCATAGAATGGTTTGGGTTGGAAGGGAGCTCAAAGACCATCCAGTTTCAAAAGCCCCACAGGGACAGCTTCCAGCTAGACCAGATTGCTCAGAGCCACATCCAGCCTGGCCTTGAGCACTTCCACGTGACATGACATATTCCATCGTGCCAAGCACACCTGGACATTGTAACTCTTGAATTTTCTTCCAGGTACCTGGCTTAAGAGGCACCATGCATTTATCTGCCTGGCAATAATCTGGGCCTATGCTACATTCTGGGCTACAGTTCCTTTTGCTGGGGTGGGGAGCTACGCCCCCGAGCCCTTTGGGACCTCCTGCACTCTGGACTGGTGGCTGGCACAAGCTTCAGTGGCTGGACAGGCCTTTGTTCTGAGCATCCTTTTCTTCTGCCTCCTGTTCCCAACTGCGGTGATTGTGTTTTCCTATGTGAAAATAATCTTAAAAGTCAAATCATCCACCAAAGAAGTCGCTCACTACGATACCAGGATTCAGAACAGCCACATTCTTGAAATGAAGCTGACCAAGGTAGGTAGGAACGTTCTCCTCAGTTTGCTGTGTTGGATCATAGAAGCAGATTTGGAGACAATGACATGATCCCTTATGACCTTACAAGTCATATCATCTCCCTGTGGCCCTGCTCCCCATAAAACACCCTTTGCTTTCAGAAATAGATGTAAAGGGTAATTTAATGTTTGATGTTCATAGGAATTATAACAGAAAACAGATAGAGAGCAGATTATTGAAGTAGGGAAATAAAACTTTCAGACAGTTTACGTAACTCTGTTAATGAAGATATAAACCAAAATTGGTCCTGTGACACTGCAATTGTTTTTATGCAAATAATTTACCAGTTAGGCTCAGCCATGAAGTGCTGATAAAAATGCTGAAGTGCTAAAATTAATTTTCCATCTGAGATCAAATCCTGCTTTCTTTTTCTGAATGAATCTATTTTCTGCAGTAGAGACAACAATGATCCTTGATACTGGTTATTGTGCCAGGAAATCTCTCAAAAGAAAGGCTTGTATTGAACAAAATCAGATTCCTTAGCTGTAAAAGAGTCACCAACCTCTGTAAGCCATGCCAAGAGTGAAACAAGCAGCAAGCTTTGCTTGGCTGATCAAATTTTATTACAATATTTGTGAGTTGAACTGAGAGTTATATAACATGCATCAATAAGGGACATTATGTCTAAACATATCTGAAAATCTCAGCTATGTACCTGCACAGCCAGTGCTGCCAGTACAGATGGTACAACTGCACTTGCCTTTCAAAAGGATGTTTCAAATTGTAACTTTTTTTGTGGTTATTCAGCAAATTTCCTTTGAAGGTCAACGGCAACTTTTGATTTGAGGCTGCAGTTTTTTTTTTTTTGTTATATTGGAAGAATCATGTAAAACTTCAATGTGATCTGAGTCACAACACCAGTAATTTTCCCTCCTTTCTTGGATATACACTGGAGAACATAATGTTGAGATAAATATAAATATGGAAAATTAGTGTCCCTTGTAACCCATTTGACCCCACAGCACAATTTATAACGAACAGGCTGTGTTTGAGATCCTGGGCTCACCTGCACTGTTCTTTCAGTGACAACAAAAAGAAAGAGGCAACAAAAAGAACAGGCTACAGGAAAGGTTATGCAATGTCCAAACCCCTTGTGCTTCCTGGTGAATTTTTTTTGGTAATCTAATCCTGCTAATTGCCTTATTCCAAATGGGTGCACGTGTGCTGCTACCAGTGTGGATGGAGCAGTGATCTGTCAATGGCAGCAGTGTAAAGGCAGGTGTTTTTCAGGATGTATGAGGCATGGCATCATTTGAAGTGATATCAGGCTGTGACCAAGTGCAGACAGGCTGGTTCAGGTAAAGTATACAAATCACAGATTTTGGCCCCAAACAATTTTGCTTTGGTATTTGTACTAAACTTTCTTGTGGTTACATTTTCTCACATTATATGGAGGTCAACTACTAATCTACCAGGAACTCATTTATCAAAACTAAAATATTTAACATAAATTTGCTTTTTAAGTAGCTACACATTCTAATGGAGTACAAATCCATGATATGGGTTAGGAGAAATAAATCTAGACATTTTACTAGCATTCTTACTCTCGGTTAAATTCTCAGTTTTCAAAAGATCCTTTTTTACAAAAAGATCTTCAGGCTCTGCTATTATCAGTATACTATGCTAAAAAGGAGATTCTGTGTTTCAAAAGGAATTCTCTCCTTAAATAATTTGAATTAAATATCAAGCTATTATTATTTTCTGAACTCTCTTTTAGTTTCCTCATATTTAGTCAGACTTCAAGGCATTTTTAAGGGTCTGATAGCAGACTTATTAACTGCTCTGTGTCAGGCAAAAGAAACACAGGCAGGAGAAAAAGAGGCAGATTTTGTTCATATTGTAAATTTATATGAAAAAGCAAGTCTTCATTTTCCTTTTCCATTCAGTGGAACACAATTCCCTTGTATTCTGCTGGTGCCTGACTCTTCAGGATAATGCCCACTGTCTCTTTTCTGCTCTCACAAGGTGGCAATGTTGATCTGCGCAGGGTTCCTCATTGCCTGGATCCCTTACGCCGTGGTCTCGGTCTGGTCAGCCTTTGGACGGCCGGACTCGGTCCCCATCCCGTTCTCAGTGATCCCAACACTGCTTGCAAAGTCAGCAGCCATGTACAACCCCATCATTTACCAGGTCATTGACTGCAAGTTTGCCTGCTGCCGGTCAGGAGGGCTGGAGGCCAAGAGCTCTTTGAAGAAATCAAGGTAATTTCTTCTTTGGGGAGTAGGATACCTTTAAGAACATGATGCTCCAAAGAGTACCAAAGTAAGATATACCAAGAATCACAGCTCATTGAATCTTATTGCTTGGTTTTGATTTGGGATTTTTCTTGACATGAGAATTTGTAAAGTGACTGTAGGTGAGAAAGGAGAAGCAGCAGGACAGTCCTTATTTTTAGATCCAGCTGCAACTCCATTGATACAGTTTGGAAAAAAAGTCCCATTGGTTTTAATGGGTTTTGGGTCAATCCTGTCTTCCTAATTCTTTTCTTTCACATCCTCATATGAACTTCATCCAGAAGGTGTTGATGACTTCTATTGCCAGTGAAACAAATGGAAGAGAACTGTGTTAATTCCTTCTGTAATCAACCTGTTAATGCTATGCCTTTCAGCATAAATCAGCACAGAATCAGCAGGGAGAGACAATAGTTCCCCAACCACCCAGCACTTACCATTCATACCAAGAAAACCCACCTCAAACCAGACAAATCAAAGTGTAATTGTCTCATAACAATGTCTCCTTTTATTTATTTATTTTTTTTTTTAAAATTTGCAACCTTCAGGCAAAATTTGTGCTGCACACCTAAAGAATTCCTGAAAACACTAATTATGCTCTTGGAGTATAGTTCTGTATTATGGCAGACAAGTACCTTACTTTTGTGGCTGAATAAGATAATGATGGATGTTAATCTGACAGTGTAGACTGTCACAAACACCACACCACACATAAGTGACTGTGAAACAATAGAATTGCAGTAATTTGCTTCAAAGACCTAAAACATAAGTGCCTCCATTGAAGCATAAACCATTTTATTATTCATATTATTCCCTTACCAATTCCAGCATTTTTGCTGTTGCTCAGTGAGTCAATCATGAACTTCCACAGCTTCTCATAGCAGATCGTTCCATAATCTTGCACTGAAATTCATTTCATCTGCAGAACATACAGAGTTTATATATGCTGTAAATGTCTGAGATGTTGAATTTATAGTTTGCTAAAATCCCTTCTGTGGTTTTAGTCAAATGGGACACAAATTCAAAGTAACTTTCAGTGGATTTGTGTTTAACATCTGAAGGAAGTCTCACCCAGTGCTTCAAGCTGAATGCAGGCTGGCTTCTCTAGGCCTGTGCAGTGAACAAAATAATCTGGAAGAATCACTTCCCAGATGTAGGAACTTAATTTCCAGCTTGGTGTGAGCAAAATGAGCATTGTACCCTCTCTGCCCCACAGGACATACACAATATCTGCACCCAGGGACTCCACAGCGATGAACGAAACCCAGCTGGAAGCATGAGGGCTCATCTCACTTACAGCAAGTGAAAACCTGATGGCAAACCACCCTACTGGCTCAAGCCCCTCTTTCTGTAAATGAATTAAAACATGCTGACAGGTTTATTTTGCTCCCTATTCCTATGTGCAATGTACAGTTCTTTCCATCCTGACCAAAATTGTGCATTGGGAAAATATTCTAAGGACTCAGAGGAAGAAGAAACAGAGAAAATTTGTTTTTTATTAAAAATTTTCCTTCACTTCAGATACTTTAGAATGCCCTTTTTTATTTCTTCTTATTACTAACAGAAATGATAGTTTGGGCAGTATTTTCTCTCAGGGGAAGGAAAGTATTCATAAAGGCCAGTTTTAATTTACCAAAGCTAATCTCCCTAAATTCCTGCTGCAGTCACTGGAGACCTGGAGCACGAAGGAAAGGATTCCTTAGAGGAGAAATCTGAGTTGGAGCTTCTCTTCTCAGGGCTCTGAATTACACAGTGGGGAAATATTAGCTGACTGGATTTCCCTGGTGAGCATCTCTCCAAATCATGTGGCTACAAGCTGTGTTAAGCCCACTTTGACTCAGTCCTTCAATATTCAGAAATATTTTGATTTTAGTCATGGCAAAGTCAGAGGTGCCACATTCATATACAGGATCACTTTATGAGATACAAAATAATCATTACTCAGTTGTGAATGAAAGGGGAAAGGTCTCTTGCAGAAATTGTAGATTAATTTAGGAGTTACGAATAACTTTGTAATAAAAAAGCAGAAGTGAAATTAAGTCAGCCCAAGTCAAACAGAGCAAACCATTATTTTACACATTATTCTCTGGCCAAAATTACAATGAAGTGTGATGGAAATAAGCAGAAAGATTCGATAACTGAATTTTTCACTGTGTATTTTACTCATCACAATTCTTTATGAGATCAGTTCATGAGACATAAAATGGCAAAATGTTCCTCAATCCAAACCATGAACAAAAATTCAAAACTGGTGTGTTTATGAGAAGGGTCACAGCACTGATAACAGAGGAGTCTTTCCAAAGTGCTGCTGCAGAGTAAGTTTTAATCACTAAGTCCTAGAAGGATGAGGATTAGTAACTATTTGAGAGAATAAACTTCTGTAAATTCCTAATGCATTCAACAGAAAAACAAAGTGTCTTGAAAAGACCTGCAGAGTAAGGCAGCCAAAAAACTTGTCTTGGATAGGAGCCATAATCATTCCTATTATCTCCTTTTTCTCCTTTGGATTTATCTTAAAGTGGAGGCATCACTACAGATCAAAACCAAGCATTTCAGTGAAAGCAGAGTTTTAATTCTTAAAATAATTATTTTGATGTTTCTCTATAATATTTTTTTTTCAGGAAGGATATGATTTTATTAAAAGTAAGTTAATTGCAAATCAAAGAGTCTCCCATGCAGATTTCTGCTGATTATTAAAAAAATACAAAGTTTCAAGGGCAAATCTTTCTTCTGAGTTGTTCCTTTAAGGAAAGAAAGCATTTATGAGTTTCAATTACTTTCCTGTTTAATATTTCCTGTTTAAGGTTAATTCAGAATTGTGTTTAAAACACATTTTCTGCAACACTGAACTGAACTTCTTTTGTAGCTGATTCATGGTGATGTTAATATTGCTTTATACAATAACATTATAAAGGTTTAATCTGATGTTTGTTGGCATGTCCCAGAACTCCCATTCTGCAGTTGCTATTTTATCAAATGATATTCAGACCATGTAGCAGAATTTTGTTGATTTTTCCTAAAGTATTGTTTCCTCTGAAATGTTTTAGCAAAAGAAGTTTGAATAAAAAGGAAGAGAATTTGCAGAGGTACTGAGTTGCTGTGCTACCCATACATTGCTTTGTATTTTCCCCCAGAAGTCGAGTTCTTTCATTTTGAAATACCTTTCAGCATAAGACAAACTACTTTCTTAACTACAGTTGCAAACCATGCCCACAAATTGATCCAGAGCATCTTTTACAATATCTGCAGACTTGGTTATGAAGATATTAACATGCTTGCCTGCATCTTCCTGCAGCTTTTTTACCTTCTTCATCCAGGCAAACTTTTGTTTGTATCTTTAGGTGTTTATCATAACTAAAGTGTGATGTAAATCAGAGCAGTGTCCCTAAAAATGAGATTAGCTGGAGCTGTTGGTAAAATTGTAGGAATTGCTGACTACTCTGGCCAGATTTAGGGGTAAATCAACTCACAGTTTGTGCATCAGCCCTTCCTCTAATTTAAATTCAGGAAGCTTTTTATTTGATAAAATTATATACTTTCCTCAGAATTGCTGCTGGGTCATCCCAGAAGTGTATACACACTTGTGGTAGGATGAATTTTAAATTTTTAAAAGTGTAGGATGTTTCTGGATTTGTTATATAGTTGGATTCCACTGTAACAAATGCACTAGATACATGTGCTACCTAAAGAGTTCAGAGGTTTAGTAAACCCTCAATATGAACTTCCAGAATAATGATAAATGTGTTTCATATGACTTAAAGATATTTATTTTCATATTATTGAAATTTATTTATTTTTTATTCAGTGCCATAACTATTCTTGTCTGAAAACTCTGTTTTGCCATGACTGAACAGTATCTTGCCCTAGAAGAAAGTTTAGGATTCCAGCTTGTGCAGGAGCTAGAGACAAGTTTATGCTGAGCATGTGTTCAAATGAAAGATGTTCCCCTGAACCAAGCAGGACATGCACATTTTGGCATGCAGTGCTTAATTTAAATGCAGAATCTGAACATAGGAGCAAATGGATCTCATTGGGTTCAGTGACAAAGGAGAACTGGAGCACTCTCTTTGTTCACCTGTATATAAAGCAGCTCACACAGTTTCTGCTCTGTTTGGGATCACAGTGGTGGAGGAATGAGGGGTCATTATGGATTCACATGTTCAAGGTCAGCTTTGAATTGATTTGAAGGTTGTAGCCAGATGGTTCCAAAGATAATACTTTGCCACTGATGCTCAGGAGAGAGTTTCTCCCTCTCCCTGTGCTGAGGCTGATGATTTTTATATAAAACTGAGATATGTAAGCTTGGTCTGAGGTCATCAAAAGACAGCAAATCTCTCACTTTCCTCTTTTCTTCTAAATGTTTTACAAATTTCAAACTTATGCCATTTTGTGATCTGAGCTTTGTCAAAGGACCAACAGTGTAAAACCTACTCAGTGTGATGAATGAGTAAGGAATATGACTCTGAAGGAAGATTTATTTATTGCATTTTCAATATTTCATCCTCCTTGTTATTTTAAGGAATTTCCTCTTTTTGTGTATAAACACTAAACTAAATGTTTTTCAATGAAAATAGTATCATCAAGAATAATAGCTATAAATGAAGATCTTTTACTATGTAACCTTTGTGTACATTCAGAGTGGGCTGCCAAGAGGCAAAATTCTATTTGAATTCGCTGTTCATGGTTTGAAGGAAGTAATAGACACAGGCTAAGACTGAACTTAGATAATGAGCTGACCTGGACCCCAAGATTGAGAGCAAGAGAGTAGTGAGAGCAGTATTGTACTTTGAAGTGATAGTGAAATTATGCAAAGCATGAGGACATGGAAATTTTTTATTTGTCATTTTCAGTCATAGATGAAGAATGACTATAATTAGTCATTTTATATTTATGACTATAATTAGTCAAATATATATATTTCCAAGTCTTCTGCAGACTTGGAAATCTGTTGACAATGAAGAAATATTAAGATTTAAAATGCCCGAAGAGGCTCTTGAAATAGGAGATTTAAACAAACTTTTATGAGAGAAGTTGAAAAAAATAAAGTCCTAAACATGTAAGTTATGGTTGTGGGATTTTGGAAGACAGTAGAGAGCATTTGTCCATGCAGGTGAATGCAGCTGTAGCAAATTTTATTTCTAGACCTGTAATAAAAATTAAAAGAACCCAACCTAACAAGTGACTTGTTAAAAACATTTTTCACCCACAGCACAAGACTGCTGATAGCAGAAGATTTTGGCTTTATGGCATTGAAAGTGAAAGAGAAAATTAATGTGTCTTCATATGAAGAGAATGGGATTAATGAATGACAGGCACAATGATAGTGAATGGAATTCCTTGGTGGAACTTTTCCCTTGGCTGACAATATCTTTTAGAGGTTGTTCCACCTACACAGGGTATGGGGTGTTCTTGGTCATGAGAATAAATCTGAATAACTGCTAAATGACCAGGCACTTATTTCTCCTGTAATTCTACATTATTCATTTTATGTTTGTGTTTCCACCTCCTCTCCCCACCAGGGAACTTTCAGACACATCAGGATCCCTCATCCCTCATCCTGCATCCCTCAGGAAAGCTGCTTTGGCATCTTTTTTAGTCACATTTCCCAGCTCAGGATGTCCCCACGTGAGCCTCGCCCTGGGTAAGAAGCTCTTGGCCAATGATGTTCACCATAAGAATTCAATTTCTCTTCTTCCCTCCTCTCAAAGAAGGTTTGGTTGGTTCCCCCCACCTCTGTATTTTCCCAGGTTTCACAGACCTTTGCAGGTCTCTGGGCCCACAGAAGAACACTTAGCAGCCTGAAACTAGATTCCCTGGATAGCTGCTGATGAGTACCACCATTTCTATCACCATGTTTAAACTGTTCTGCAGCTCTTGTGCATCCCATACTGACCTTTCTCTTGTCTACATGCTTTGCTTTTCAGGATGGCTCATATTCTCCTTCACTTGGAACATGGTGCCCATGGTGAGGGCTGTTTTTGTAACTCTCTGGAATGATCTTCACTTCCCCAGTTATGCCTGTTTCACTGTGCAGCTGGGGGAGAGGGTCTTGGACATATAAGCCAGAGCAAAACCTCCTGAAATACAAGGTGTAGTTACAGATTTCCATGCTCTCATTACTTCTGAACTCACAGGATGCCTCACTAGTTTTGAATAAAGAGCCTCTTTCAGTCACTGACTGCAGTTTTGTGTCTCAGTGGTGTAGAAAAGAAAACCCATCTGTTTTGTTAGATCTGTTCTGAGGGACACATTCAGTATAAAATCAGGTGAGTGCAACAAATGGATGAAAGCTCCTGATAAAGGTTTGGTAGGTTCCCTGAGTCAGTAAGATGGTCATTGTTCTGTAATTTGGTTGTAACACCTAAAGGGAGTTTTGGGAGTCAATCTCCTGTTCTCTGTGGAATATAGCTAAGAAATTTGTGAAATAACAAGTAAACATTCATTGCACTGACAAAAACCTGACATTGCACAGAGCAATTTCAGGTATAGATTGTGGATACATGTGTGGTACACAATGTATTTTAAATGATAAATAATGTTTACATTGCATAAAGCATAATCTTACATTAGTAAAAATATGAAATATTTAGGAAATAGGTATGAGTAGAAAATAGGTACAAAAATAGAGATGGGAAGACCTTCTGGTTTCTAAAAGGGGATACACAGAGGCTCATTATCCTAAAATCAGAGGCAGGTGTGCAATTCTTGCTCTTTCTGCACAAATCTTGGAAAACATGTCAAGGAAGGGATCTTACCTTAGGGTTTTGCATCCATGGAGTCAGTCTGTAACATCAGAAAGTGTTTCCCTGGAGCACTGAAGATCTCTGTTCCTGAACTACAAACCATTATGGATTATGGATTATGGATTATGGTGGATTGATCAGTGGCTGGAGAACCTGCCTGTCTGTCTGCAGTTCTGGTCCCCAAAGCTCAGGGAAGCTTTAGAGAAGGTGTAACAGGCACTTTTTTCTCCTGAAAAAAATGATAATGTATAAGCTACAGAAACAGAGGTGAGGGGGTGACAGGGTTAAGCAAAGTAGTCTAAAAGAGGAAAGGTCAGAGAAAATGATATCAGTCTATAAATATCTTTGAAAGAATAAAAATGTAAATGAAGGGAGTTATTCACAGTCTCAGAAGGTGAAAGAATGAAAAATTAAAGCTGGAAGCTGAGGCAGGAAAAGCTGGAATGGGATTTTCTAAACTACAGGAACATTCAGGCTTTGGAAGAGCTCTCAAGGGGAGAAGTTGGGACATGGCTAACTGGATACTCAAGAACAGATTATTTAATCTACTAACAAAAATTGTTAAAAATTGGCAATACTTCTAAACAGCCATTTTTTAATCCTGACATCTGAATTTCTGAGCATTTTCCTAATTTAAACACTATTAGGAGCTCACCTTAGGAGCTCTGTGCTGCTGAAGCAATGAGTGCTGACCTTGCTGTACAGACAGCTGGATCGTTTACACTGGAACTGGCTTCAAAAGACCCCTCACACCGTGAAACTTCACTTCTAATGAAGTGATTTCAAAATCCAAAGTTGATGCAATGCAGTGTCATCTGCAGATGCAGAGTTAAACTTTATTATGAAAGAAATAGCTTTGCTTTCACTGTTATTTGATGAGCTTTTTGGAGAGGTGTCATTCTGCAACACTTGCAGTTCAAGCTGAAATAAAGTGCTGTATTTACTGCCATGGACAATTTGTTGGAATAAAATATTTTCTGCTGTGCTATTTAGCTTTTGAGAACATGATAATAAATCTGGAATCCCAGAGTCATTAAATTAAAATACTCCAAACAACCACAGGGAAATTACATGAGAAAATTACCTTCAGAAAAACATATATTAGTGGTTTGTGATCTACATTTTCATTCTTAGGAATTTTATTTCTAATAGAGTTAAATTTACAAAGATACCAAGAGACTTTTAGTGATACTGACCCAAAATAACTACAATGTAATTATTATCTCAAAGCTTAGGTGTATTAATTGTATGGAAATATATTTCTATTACTGAAGGGTTGTCCTACTAAGAAATAATTTCAAGTGTAATTTTTTGTGTAAATGTGCTGTATTTATTGTTTCAGTTCATTGGCAGTAGGATTGCATTCACATATAATGTCCTGATGCTGGTCTATGCTTAATATTATAGAGCAAGAAATCACAGACATGTATTAGAGAGATTTCTGTTCTGTTTAGGGGATCAGACCCTTCCTGCTGAAAATATGTGCACACCTGCTTGGAAATCCATGGTCTACATCTCTTCCAGTTTCTAATGTAAAAAATGGATCTTGTGTTTCCTTTGCCTTGCTCATCTCCCACCACAGCAGCCCTGTTGGAGTTGCACCTGGGTAACAAAACCCACAACAGCCAGTCCAGGTCCATAGGGAAAAGGGAAAGAAGGGGAAATGTGGGCTTTTTTCTCAGTTAAAAATGAGATTAACCAGGAGCCACCCCACCAAAATCAGGGTACTTCTCTGAAACTGTGATAGAAATGAAAGGAGAAAATATCTTTTCAGTGTTTGAGGCCCAAGAAATGCCAGATGCACTGACCACTGTCAGTACCATTTCTAGCAGCAGAGCTGGTTCTCCAATGCTGATGTAAACAACTAGACCTTGAGCTAGGATGGTTCTTTTTGCTAAGGACACCTACTAACTGCACTGAAAATGTAACTTGGATGGTAGCACAAAGGTGAGGAAGGCTGAAGGCCAGTTAGCACCCATCTTTGAATGATTTTGGCTTCCTTCATGTTCTGCTTCATTATAGTCCTTAAAAATGCACCTGACATTCCCAATGACCCACTGGAGTGCACAGCTGGAGTGTCAGTCTTGGCATGCTGGTGTTGTAAGCAACATTCAAACCTGTAATGAACTAATATAAAACTTCCTAGAATATTTATTACTGATTTTTTTCAGCACTTTGGAGCTCAAAGTGTAGTGGAGGATCTGAGTATGGTGATTAATGAACCTCAGAGGTCAGAGCAGTGGGAGAGTTCATTAACCACTGTGATTTTGCAAGTCTTGGTATAAAACTCAATGTTTTGTGTCCATCAATGTTTCCAACACATTGTGTGTCTGTGCAATGTCCTGGAACTGCAATCACCAATGTAAGAGAAAATTTATGGAGCGAGCCTGTAAATAACTGTGTAAGTTCTCAAGTGGTGTTGCTGAGTTAATATGTTATTAATATATAACACTGTGTTATGAAGCAGTAAAGAACCTCACTTACTGGCTGCACTTAACATCAGGGGACACTTCACTGTCACTGTGTTGGAACAACAGTGGTGATTTTCATTTTTCTCTGCTCTTTTTATTCCCCTAAACACACAACCAGATGGATGACATCATGGGCAGGCTTTATTTTCTGCACTTTGTTATCTGAATGTGTTTTCAAATAAAGCAAGAGAATGGATCAATGTTGATACCTGTGGTTTTGTCTTGGGTTTTGATCACAAAATTGTATGTTTTTACATCAAGGCTGCTTTTGGTACCATTTAACTGCAATCCTTAACCTGCATTAGTCTGTAGTAAAATTCTTTGCTCTGACTGAGGGTAGTTTTACATTAGAGAACAGGAAGAAATTCTTCCCTGTCAGAATTCTGAGGCCCTGGCACAGGGTGCCCAGGGAAGCTGTGGCTGCCCCATCTCTGGAAGTGTCCAAGGCCAGGTTGGATGGGGCTTGGAGCAACCTGGGATAGTGGGAGGTGTTCCTGCCCAGGGCAGGGGAGTTAGTTAAAATTGGGTGATCTTTAAGATCCCTTCCAACCCAAGCCATTCTATGATTTTATGTCTTGAGCATCATCAAAATGTGTGTGAGGGCCATTTCAGCCTAATGAGAAACAAGCAAAACCTCCACTTGAGAAGTTATTTGTAGATAATGGTATTAGAATCATTCTCTAAATAAAGAAAAAAATACTGTCTCCACCTGTTTTCTCCCCAACCCCAAAAGATAACTGGCAGCTCTGGCTAAGAGTTCCTACAAATCAAAGTTTGGGAATTGCCATAGTTTAGGCATCCTGACCCACTGGAGTGCCACCTGGACAGGCTTTTAACCTGCTCCAGTCTGAGAAGAGATCAAAGTGAGATGGTCCCCTTCTTGCTTGTAGCTTTTTAGTTTCTAGCTACTAGTGCTGTTCTTCTCTGAGACATCTGAGGAGAGCTGGAAACTGGGGAGAAGGATTCATCCTCTTTCTTCTGTTCATCTGGCAACAGGTGCACAGTGGAAAACCTTTCCAGGCAGCGCTGACAGCAGGCACAGAGATAGAAGCAGGTGGAGGCTTTTGCTCCCAGACTCATCCTGTGCCCCTCAGCAGTAGCCTGTCTGTAAATCTGGCCAGCCAAGGCTCAGAAACTGCAGATTTCATCAGTGCAAACCTGAGTGCTGGGTGGTATTGACTGGACTTGGCAGTGTTTCCATCCTGTTTTACTCTGCCCACACAGCTAGCTCAGATACAGTAAAAACTTGGTAGGAGGAGCAGGGATTGAGCTGGGAAAGAGTGCCAGGCTGCTGCCAGGAGTCCTGGCACACCACATCTGCACCAGATGTGCACAGCTCCAACACACTGTCCCAGGAAATGGCAGAAGAGGGAAAGAACTGCTGAAGGGCAGCAAAACTAAAGAAAAAACATTGAACAGCTTCTGTGCAATGCCAGGTTAAATGGACTCATCTTGGAAGAGGGGGAATCTGATGGGATACAGTAGGGCCCACAAGTAGCATGGAGAAGATGAAAAGATCATATTTACAGATATTTTTTTTTGTGAAGGAGGAGTTGGCAGGCACCAAATGAAAAATCCCAGTGTAAAACCTCAGGCATGAGCAAAGGGAAGGACAGGCCTTGTCCTGGCAGCACATCATTAAGTGGTGAGGGAGCCTTCATCCAGCAGTGGAATTTGGGCTGCTGGCTGACTGCAGAGGCGCTTCACAATCACACAAAGGCAAAGGCACAAAGTGGCTTTTCTGCAGGAGCCACGGGAGTTCTTCCTGGCAGGGTCCTGTCCCACAGAGGTGACACAAAGAGCATTACCTGAAAAAGCGTTCAAGGATGCTCAGACGGGTTTTAATGACCCCAGGGAGGGATGGTCCTGCCCACATCCCACGGGGCCAGCAAAACAGAGAGCTTTGATTTCATTGAGGCAGGTTTAGATCCAATGACAGGCACTGAAGAAGGCGTTTTGTC